CTCTAAAATATAATTACATCGAATAATGACATATCGCTATTAAAAATATCGACGATATATCGATAATCGTATGGAAAAATATCGATATTTTTATATATAGAGATTTTTTTGCCCACGCATAACTGTCATTTTTATTTTTTCAGTTGTAAGACGAGCATCACTATCGGCAGTATTCGGTAATGTTCGTTACCAATTCGGATGTCGATGCCGGTGACATCCGATGTTAGACATTTCACCAACGGATGCTAACATCGCAAACTGACATATCAACATCGTAATTAAAGAAACGACCATCTCCAATGTCAGGTTCCGTCACATCAGTATGGCTATGTTAGAAAGTCAGGGTAGGATTTTGTACTATAATTATAGTATTTTTAATATAGTATACTATAATTTCACGCCTTTTTTATATTCTATTCATATCTAAGGATCATACGGAAATATACTATAATTTCGTTAATTTACTTATATGACCGATATAAATGCCAATCCAACATTAAAACAGGTTTATTTGGTTGTAATTTTTAACAATACAAAGTGGATATTACCACGAGTCTTTGTCAATAATTACTACGGATTATAAATAATCTTTATCAATGAACTATTAACGGGGACTTAACGTTAATTTTTTTTCTATTCTAAGCTTGTTAAAGAGTTACTTTGTATATTCCACTACTATGCTAGCAATTTGCTACTATGTAGTTAATAGAGTTCATTGATGCCTAATGGTACGATTAATTTCTTATTACCTAATCTAAGATAAGAAGTAAACATAATCCATAGACGCTATTTTATTGTGTTGTGGCGACATCAAGGATGGAAAAAGAGTCGAATTATTACGGATTTTATTCCTACTGAGGATATGTTAAAAAAATTAAATTCTAAGGATGAAATTAATATTGAAGCATTGATAAATTTGGAAGATGAGTGTATTAATGCCTGTTAAAATCAAAATTATACAGTGTACTATAATTAGCTTAGATACTTTATTTTTTTTTACAAATATTATCCTTTTCAATTTTTTGTATTTCCTTTTTCATCTTACCCAGGGTAGGATATTGTACTATAATTATAGTTATTGTACTATAATTTCATGCCTAGTACTAACCATCCATATGTACGGAAATGTACTGTACTTTCGTTAATTTAATAAATGACCAATATAAATGCTAATCCAACATTAAAAAAAGGTTTATTGGCTTGTAATAATGTTTTAAACAATACAAAGTGGATATTACCACGTGTCTTTTTCAATTATTACTACGGATTATAAGTAATCTTTATCAATGAACTATTTACGGGAATTTACCGTTCTTTTTTTTTCTTTACTAAGCTTGTTGAAAAGTAACTTTGCATATTCCAACTACGAGGCTAGTAGTAATAGAGTTCATTGATGTCTAATGTACGATTAATTATTTATTACCTAAACTAAGGTAAGAAATAAATATAATCCATAGGTGCCATTTTATTGTGTTGTGGTGCTATCAAAGATGGAAAAAAAGTCGTAATTATTACTGGATTTTAAACCTACTGACGATATGTTAAAAAAATTAAATTCTAAGATGAAATAATTTTGAAAAGCATGATACACTTTGGAAGATGAGTGTAATTATGCCTGTTAAAATCAAAATTATACAGTGTACTATAATTAGCTTAGATACTTTATTTTTTTTTACAAATATTATCCTTTTCAATTTTTTGTATTTCCTTTTTCATCTTACCCAGGGTAGGATATTGTACTATAATTATAGTTATTGTACTATAATTTCATGCCTAGTACTAACCATCCATATGTACGGAAATGTACTTTAATTTCGTTAATTTAATAAATGACCAATATAAATGCCAATCCAACGTTTAAAAAAGGTTTATTGGGTTGTAATAACATTGAAATGTTTTAAACAATACAAAGTGGTTATTAGCACGTGTCTTCTTTAATTATTACGGATTATAAGTAATCTTTATCAATGAACTATTTACGGGAATTTACCGTTATTTTTTTTTCTATACTTAGCTTGTTGAAAAGTAACTTTGCATATTGAACTACGAGGTAGTTAATAGAGTTCATTGATGTCTTTTAGTACGATTAATTATTTCCTAAACTAAGGTAAGAAATAAATATAATCCATAGGTGCCATTTTATTGTGTTGTGGTGCTATGAAAGATGGTAAAAAAAGTGTAATTTGTACTGGTTTTAAACCTACTGACGATATGTAAAAAAAATTAAATTCTTAAGATGGAACTAATTTTGAAAAATGGATACACTTTGAAAAGGAGTTAATTATTGCCTATTAAATTCAAAATTATAAAGTGTACTATATTTTTTTTACAAATACTATCCTTTTCAATTTTTCGTACTATCTTTTTCATTATACCTAAATCCAACCCTGATTATACCTAAATCTAATCCTGGTCGTAGTTGTCTAAAACCAAAAAGAATGTAATCACTACATTTTAAGAGACGGGACTTCCATAACAAAAAATATCAGTCTATGCGGCACTCCAATGTGTACCACCATACCACAAAGATGTCAAACAACAGAAGTAATAACGTAACGAGCCAAATAGTGCCTAACCGAGCTGGCTTAGCTTCTTATCGATATCGATAAAATATGCTAGGTACAAAGCGAGGTTTCCACTTAATATTTTTTTATTAATTTTAGGTAAATATCGACTTCGTATTTATGTCCAATGTTGATGAGGGGATATTTGGTACTAATACAAGATTGGACTTAAATGCGGATCCGAAATAAAAAACAGTTTCATTAAAATTTTATTATTATAATGAAATTACATATTCAAACGAAAATGAATTTTTAAATAAAAAAATAATCTTAACACACCGTATGGGCTTTGGAATCTTCAAATCGACTATAAACATATTGCTTGCTTTTTTGATGGTAGGGCACTATTTTTCAGGCGATTTTTTTATTAAATGCTCTGTCGTCAAAGTGGTATGGGAATATATAAATCTTCTTTTCCTACAAGTTTGACCCACAGTTTGCATCTGAATTATAATGCAACAAAATTAAAAATACTCTTAATAACGTAAAATCATTCGTCTAAGAAGTCATCTTAAATTTATATTATAATATATTAGACGAACCAACCAACTTTTTTCTATTGAGTTTGAACCAAAGAGAATGTAATCACTACGTTTATTTGGTTTGGACCACAGAGTACTTTTGTATATAGGGAATTGGTTTGAACTCCCTGATATGGACTGAAAAGATCGTGGTACTTATAAAGAGTGCTTTTAATATAATATGCATATTAAATATATCATTCTCTTCATCATTTCATTATAAAAGCTAGGTAAAAATAAACTACTAGAAGATTCAAATTCAAATCATTTATTCATCGAAATAAGAAATATACATTTCATTTCGTAATGAGGTTCCTCTAACGGAGAAGAAACAGGCGAAAGAAACTCCGTATAGGTATCCTCATTTTTGTCATTTTTTTCAACAAATACATTGTTATACAATACATACTCTTTTTTTTAGAAACATCTTAGGAGCGATCATCTCATTCCCAGGGGTTATTATCGTTAATGTATTTATGTTATATTATATTATGTATTTATACCCTTTTTAAAAAGTTTTTCTTGAATAAATTTCTTAAACGTTTTAATAGATAGCCTTTGCACATTAACTGGGATTTTGTTGTAGAAGTGTATACACCGTCCCATGAACGAGTTACTGACTTTATGGAGTCTAGTAACTGGCGTTACAAGCTTGTGTTTGTTCCTAGTGTTTCCATTATGTACATCAGTATTCTTATTTAAATTATTAATGTGTCTATGTACATACATTACATTTTCATATATATATATTGAGAGGCCAAGGTTAAAATATTTATTTCTTTAAATTTCTGTCTCAGAGATGCATTCAAATTAAGAGTGTAAATTCCTCTTATGGCCCTTTTTTGCAAAATAAATATTGTTTCAACATCGGCTGCATGTCCCCATAGCAAAATACCATATGACATTATGCTATGGAAATAACTAAAATAAATGATTCTAGCTGTATTTACATCAGTCAGACATCTTATTTTCCTTACAGCATATGCTGCAGAACTTAGTCTGCTAGCAAGTTTGGATCAAGAGTTATTCCTAGAAAAACAGTGGTATCCACAAGGCCTAACTCTTCCCCATTTATAAGTATATTGGCACCACCCAATTGTTTAACATTAGTTTTTATACATTTAGTTTTATTGCCATTTAAAAGTAAATTATTAGCATTAAACCAATGAACTATTTCTGACATAGCATGATGTACCTCATCAAGTGTTACAATATGTCACTTAATTTTAAAGATTAATGAAGTATCATTGGCAAACAACACTATGTCATGTTTTTTTCCTACTAAGACTAAGATATTCTTGATATCTGAAACCATTTGTTTCTTTACCAGTATTGTGTCTTTGGCAATATCATAAGGACCGCCAACTGCCTTGGAAGAAGAAGAAGAGTACTTTTATATATCTGAAACTGAGTACTTGCATAAATTAAAAATGATAAGGAAGTAATTATTGTGTTGTATATTTTAAATTAATGAACTTTAAAATCTGGCCAATAAGAATTAGGTACTGATTATTAAGTAAAAATTATTTAAAGCCCTATTTATTACAGTAATATCGCATGAAAATATGAAAATTTCAAGACGAATTTTGAAGCCTAGGCTATCATTTAAATTTATTTATAGATACAAGAATAGTCTTGGATTATGGGTAAACAGCAAAATGATTATGTATGGTATTTTATGCCTAATTGTACATGTGCTATTGATTAATTTATGACATTTCAGAATGAGAATATATCAACAGAAATAAAATTAAAAATAGAAAGCCATTGGCGCAAAGAAGTGCAAAGTAATACCAATAATTTAAGAGATCATTCATATTATGTACTACCAATGTTCCCATATCCTTCTGGAAATTTACATATGGGACATGTACGAGTTTACTCAATATCAGATACTATTGCAAGGTTCCATAAAATGAATGGTAGGAATGTTGTTCATCCAATTGGATGGGATGCTTTTGGCTTACCTGCTGAAAATGCTGCAATGGAGCGCAATATCCCTCCTGAACAATGGACGAAAAGTAATATTATCACAATGAAGTCGCAACTTTTAGATTTAGGATTTAACTTCGATTGGGATAAAGAAATAAGTACATGCAATCCTAAGTACTACAAGTGGACACAGTACATATTTCTAAAACTTTTTGAAAAAGGTTTAGCTTACCAGAGTAAGGTAAGGCTACAGGATCTTTAATAAATCAATTTCACTATGGTTCTTTAACAATAATTAATTTTCACCTTGGAAATGTTGTATATCTATTTTCAGGCAAAGGTAAATTGGGATCCTGTTGATAAAACTGTTTTGGCTGATGAACAGGTAGATGACAATGGATGTTCCTGGAGGTCTGGAGCCAAAGTAGAAAAGAAAGTGCTTACCCAATGGTTTATTAAGACAACCAAATATGCAAAACAGTTATATGATGGTCTTACAAGCAATACTTTAGAAAATTGGAATGATATAACCAACCTTCAAAGGCATTGGATTGGCGAATGTAATGGAATATCTGTCACTTTTAAAATAAAAGTTGGAAATCTTGTTAGAACACTTAAAGTATGGACCTCTGAACCATATAAACTCATATATGGGCAATATTTAGTAATACACAAAAACAATGTAATTTTGGAAGAATATATCAATAAAGAATATCCCAATATAGTATGTATTAATCCAATAACAAATTCAGAAATGCCAGTATATATTACTAATGAAGCTGATTATTCAGAAGGCCAAGAAGTGTATATAGCATGCCCTTCAGTAAATGTTGAAGACAGAAAATTATCTCATAGTCTAGGAATATCATACAATGTGATGTCTAATATAAACATTGATATTGAAAATGAAAAAGCTATAACAATTGCCTTGAATCCAAACATAGGAGGACATTTTGTTAGTTCCAAACTTAAAGATTGGTTGATATCTAGGCAAAGGTACTGGGGTACTCCTATACCAATAGTACATTGTTCAAATTGTGGTACCATTCCTGTACCTTATGAAAACCTTCCTGTCTTGTTGCCTGATGTAAATCAAGTTGAGCTTGGGTCACAGCAATTAACAAATTTTAATGACTGGGTAACATGTAAATGTCCAAAGTGTATGGGTGTTGCTAAAAGAGAAACTGATACAATGGACACATTTGTTGACTCCTCTTGGTATTTTTACCGTTTTTTGGATTCTGAAAATGACAAAATGCCATTTAGCATGGATAAAATCAAAGATTTAACTCCTGTACACTGCTACATTGGTGGTAAAGAACATGCTGTCTTACACTTATACTATGCTCGTTTCATGAGTTATTTTCTGCATTCACTTGGATGGACAACAACACCAGAGCCTTTTAAGAAACTTTTAGTTCAAGGCATGATTATGGGACAGAGTTATAAAACAAAAGCTACTGGAAAATATATACCAGCTGAGAATGTTGAAAAAATTGGAAAAGATTATAAAGATAAAGATACTGGAGAACCTGTAATAGTTCAGTGGGAAAAAATGAGCAAATCCAAATATAATGGAGAAAATCCTAAAAGGTTGCTCACAAGTTACGGTTGTGATGCTACACGGTTGCTCATGCTTGCTGATGTTCCTCCTGCGACCAGTAGACGTTGGTCTGATGCAAGTAAGAACATAATTTTTCATTGTATAAATTTCTTCACTTGTTGACTGGTGGCTTCGCAGTTGCCAAGCCATCATCTTCAGGTCTGGGGGTAAAGTAACAGCCTGTACATGTCCCACTGCTGGGCAAAGGCCTCCTCTGTAATCTGTATAGTCCACCATGCAGCCCCACTGCGGATTGGTGGTTTTCACATATCTTCGAAATTTTTTTTTGTTATTTTTCGAAAATATGCGATGTTTTCCTTCACCGCTGAGCACGTGATAATTCGGCACTTAAAATTAACAATTTCATTGGTGCCGGCATCGGGGATCGAACTCAGGTTGCTCGACTATATTGAAATAAAGGCTCTGGGGGGGGTTCGATTTCTAGGTCAGACAAGTATTCGGGACAGAACAATGGGATTTGAGTTACCCACAGATGGGTCACTCGTATCCTATTGTTCTGGATTTGGGTTTTACACCTAGGGTTGGATTTAGGGAAGGGCAGCTGGGGCTGCAGCCCCAGGGCCTAAAGAGGGGCCTACATAATAGAAACTTCGGAAAAAAAAATTCAAATTCAGACTAGTAAACAAGTTTAATTCATTAATGCTAAAATTTCATTTTAGATAATTCTTGTTTCCGATTATATTTATATATTCCTTAAATAATAAAAGAATCTTTACTTGGTTTCACAATAAATTATTTATTGGAAAACTTGACAGAAAAAAGCTGTTCCTTTTATTTGGAAAATAATTTGGCCCAAGGGGCCTCCACTCCTTTGTTGCCCCGAGGCCTCCAGAACTCTAAATTCGGCACTATTTATACCCAATGTATTTGAATATTAATTTTGCAAATTTTTATGTTGAAGTTGTTTTTCTCAGCTAAATTACTCCTTTGCTGGTTTAAAGCTGCTGTTAAGCATGGTTTGGGGTCATATTTTGCTACAATATTTGGGAACACTTTCGATATTAATTCCTCCAATGACATTATGAATTGAAAAATTTGGTGTTCACATTACCAATATCTAATAATGCCTTCGAAAACACTTCCGCCTATTTTTTGTATTTCGTTTCATATTTGTTTGAGTCAGTAGAACATATTCTCACAAATTCGATGTCACTAAGCAAGTATTTATCCATCAGCAGCTCGAAATCCTGGAATGACTGGCAGCGTTTGCCAAAAATCTCCAGTTACCTGTCGATTTATTATTTGTTTGCAAACTCACTGGCAGTTTGAGAGTGGCTCGTCCAACTTTCAACAATATAGCAGGGATTTCAGATTATACTACTGCCATAAAATTCTGCTTACTGGCTAATGTGGCTCAAAACATTTTAATATAATGCCGGTATCATTAAATGCGATTTGGCGCGCAGGTTTTCCGTTTTCCTCAAATGATATTATTGTATTTAATCCACAAATCTAGATGAGATGAGATAATCATAGATAAGAAACTATAAAGAGAGAATGTTGAAATTATGATGTCCATGATCGAATTTGTTAAGAAGTGAACGAAATAATAGCTAAAGCGAGTGTCACACTCTGTTCACTTGATGTTAAGTGATAATTGCAGCCCATGGAAATTTGCAACACCCTTAAGGTTGCAGATGCATTACTTTTTGCACCTTTTTACAAAATAGGCCAGGCCATCTCACTCACCAGACGAAATGCAGAAGTATAACACTTCCACTTCACGCCGGACTTCTGTGAGGTCGTGGTATTTACCCAGACGGACCTGCCCATTCGTGCAACAGTGTTGCGTGGTCCTGCCATCTAATGTAATGCATCATAAGATCTATCTGTGTTTCTTAAATACGCTGAAGGTTTTTCTTAAGAGATTTTTGGTTTATGAGTTTGAGATTTCTATGGTGGAGAAAAATGTATGTTTTAGTAATATTGAATTCTATAAGCCTTAATACCTTCCACACAGCAGTAATTATTCTTCGGTTTTAAACATATATTTTAGTTTCCCTTTTTACAATTGAGAAGTTTATAAGCGAGCAGACGGTAAATTTGATGTTGATTGATTCATGCTGTTCATGATCATCTAGAATTCTTTCAACTTTTTAAGAATTGGGACCCGGTTACCAGACGAAACGCAAAAGTACCTAAGCACTGCAGCTGCAGTCCCACAGTTTATCATTGTCATACGGGTAAATTGGACATCATAAGTACTGTAGGATGTTAATCCAATAGATTTTATTCCTCGATATATGTAGTCACATAAAGATGAAGATGGTCTGTGTATGGAATAATAGACAAAAAGCTGTTCAATTTCAGAAACCGTTATGATGAAACATGTTCACATTGAAAATATTTGTAGATCGGCACGCAAAATGCTTGGGTTTTTATACCGGAATTCAAAATGTTTTAAAAAAATCAAAACAAAAAACTTCTTTACACTTCCTTAGTTAGAAGTAAACTAGAGTACGGTACCATCATATGGAGCCCTAATTATCCCCAAATTAATACACAAAGATCGTATAGAAAGCATACAAAGACGATTCACTCAATATTGTTCTAGTGGTAATCATATGGAATCCTATTCTACTCGTCTCCTAAAACTAAAATTAAGCTCACTATAGGACAGACGTAAACTACATGATTTAGTTTTTTTTGTACAAGCTTACAAATGGAACTATAGATTCTACAGAATTACTATCACAAATATTGTTTAAAGTTCCCTGCCGTGTACCACGTTTTTCGATTCCCTCACTCAATCACAAATTATATAAAACTAATCTTGGTCATCACTCTCTTATACCGAGAATAAGCAGATTGTATAACGAATGTGTGCTTAAAGATAAGACTATTGACTTATTTAGTGATAGTATAAAAACTTTTAGAGCCAAAATTGTCAAACTATTTAATAATTCAAAATAAAATTCTACCATAATTTTATATAAACATTTTACTCATATTTGTAATTATTATTGAGTTATCGTACACTTATCGTCTTTTTAAACACGCTGTAACTACCTTTAAATGGAAACATGTAAATCTTAGTTCCTAAGTCTATTGTCAGTTTTTATAACAACACAACATGTTATTCCGTTGGTGGTTCTATTAATAAATAAATAAATAAAAAAAATGCACAATATTTGTTTCAGCTCTTCCCGGTGTTTTAAACTGGCAGCATAGATTATGGATAACAATCCGAGATTTTCTCAACCACAGAAGTAATGTAGATATTACCAAAAATATGTTAAGTGAGGTTCAACACTATGACACAAAAATATGGAATGCAAGAAATTATTTCATTGCGACAGCAACATATCATTTCGAATACACGCAAAAGCTTAGCGTGGGAATCTCCAGGTTACAAAGTCTGACAAATGTTTTAAGAGTACGTAATTTTGTTTAGATAAATAGGTTAAAATATTGCAAACTATTTCATATTTTACCAAAAAATTTAACTAAAACTAAAGTGACAATTTCCGGTTTAGAAGTGGGTACCAGCAATTAGAACAGAGATATTGAACTTCGTTTTTTCAAATTGAAGTATATTTCTGTATAAATATTTTCTTAAGTTCTGTTATTATGGGCAATTGTTATTATAGCCTTACAACGATATAGCAAGTGACAAAAATCCATTTTTTTTTCAAAACGTATGCTTTAAATAATTTCAAAGTTCTTAACATATTGAATGTACTCAAGAAATAATAGAATCAAATATCATTTGCATCCTTCGTGTACATAGATTATGTACTGATAAATGTTATTCCTTTAGACAATTACAAGTCTCTTAAAATATATGATTTATTGCAGAATAATATACCACCGGAAATAATCGCCAACAGTAAGGAGTATGAACTGGCACTTGCTCAATTAATCATAATGTTGACACCAGTCACCCCACATTTTTGCTCCGAATTGTGGGCAGGTTTTTTGTCAGCTCCCAACAGATTATGTGATAATACTCATTTAATTGATTGGGATAAGAGTGTTCTTGAACAAAAATGGCCTAAAGTGGATAATCATTTCGAGTTGTCGTTTTTATGTAAAGTAAGTATTTAAAGACTAAATTAAGTGTATTAATAGATTTATTTTAATTTAGGAGTTATTCCTAATAATACAACAAAACAATGGGTTTGAATATTTCTTCCTGTTTATGTCGCGCGAAGGTATTATTCGTGGTACAATTACGTATAATAATTTAAAAATGTACAAAAATTCATATTATGTCTATTTAATTTTCGTAACCATTTGATTTATTTTTACTCTTTAAATATATCAATGCTTAGTATTTTTAATGTATATTACAACTTAAAAATTTAGTTTGTTTGTGGTTGGTAAGTGGGCTTTGTATTAAAATTAAATTATTCTTCAATAGGTAGACGGAGCAGACAGGTGTGACCTGAAAATTAAAGCCGAAGAACTTTTACATATAGACGAGGCTAAAGCGCTAGAAATAATGCTGAAACAAGAGCCTGTTGCTAAGAGGGTCAAACGCGAAATAGTTCGAACAAAATATGATTTATTTCCTTATTGTCGTGCTATATTATACATATATACAAATAGAAATGTTAATAAAAAAAAAGTTGAAGCAGCATCTTGATTTACGAATCTATTTATTTGGATTTGTTACATATGTATAAATCAAATAAACATAATTGTAATCTGACATGCTCGTTTTTTTCTTTAAAATAGGTATGTCAAAATTTATCGAAATTTACAGTATTTACTGCCTTAGTGAGCAGCAAAATTTTTATGAAGTCGGGTAAAATCTTACTTTACAACATTAGGTACATGTAGTACCTTTTTAGATACAATTTTGATACTGATCTGCATCTTAATTTGTTTCGGTGTGTAGCTTTTGTACTGAATAATAATATAAGTATGCGAAAAGAATTAAATAACTTTCTTCATAGAAAATTCCTTGCAAAATGTGTGGTATGGTAATAAGCAGGGGTCGATATATGTAAGGGATTTTTGGATTGCAACCCAGGGTCCCTTAAATAAAATTGGCCTCCAGTTCAAATGGAAGACAATGGACAATATTGTCAATTATTAAAAACGTCTAAGTACCATTATCTATAACATCGGTTTATATCATAATCATATCATGTTTGTTGTATGGCATCCACTCTTAAAAAAAATTATTCTGTTTTTTTACAATGTGAAATACATCATCTGTGAAAATTTCAACTGTCTAAAGGGGCTCATTCACTATCCTGCCTGGCAGTCCGCCGCATAGAGTAACTTTGTATACTTCGTCCGCCGTGCAGGACTGCAAAGCAGGATGTAGCCCACACACCAAAGAGTACATTATTAATATAGAGTCATCAGTCTCCTCGTGAGACAGCGCCATTTCTTGATGCGGGACCGAACTACAAGTTCAGATGTATATTACCTACCCCGTAACGTTACAATAATTGTACCACGAATAATACCTTCGCGCGACATAAACAGGAAGAAACATTCAAACCCGTTGTTTTGTTGTATTATTAGGAATAACTCCTAAATTGAAATAAATCTATTAATACACTTAATTTAGTCTTTGAATACTTACTTTACATAAAAACGACAACTCGAAATGATTATCCACTTTAGGCCATTTTTGTTCAAGAACAGTCTTATCCCAATCAATCAAATGAGTATTATGACATAATCTGTTGGGAGCTGACAAAAAACCTGCCCACAATAGTTAGCACGTCATAACCACGATTACTGCAGACTCAGCACGGCGAAGGCGCATCGAAGGAACGCTGACAGCATTAGTTTTAGTTCATAAGTTTTTGTAATTATAAATCAGTCCATTCCAAATTGTCATACAGTAAACACCTTGTAATTAATTAAATAAATCTTTTTTTATTGGAATACCGATCGCCGTATACTTAACTGGCGCAGTCGGTAGGATCGCAGCACTCTCGTATGAATCAAATGTTCTATTACGATTGTGTCACGGTTCTCAAATCGTACCTGGAGCGATCCTAAAGAACCTCAATCGCGCGATCGGGCAAGGACTCGTCAGGAGATGCAGAACATCCTGGGGTAAGTACTCTAGTTATCCAAGTGTTCCTGCTCTATTTCCTGTCTTATTTTGGTAATTTTTTTTATTGTGTGTGTCTGTCTATACTATAGACATACACACACACAATAAAAAAAATAGTTAGTGATTCTCAACCACTGTGCCGCGGCACTCTTGTGTGCCGTCAAATTTCAAAAGTGTGCCGCCAAAGGACATTGTCGAAAGTTGCCCCAAGACCAACACAAAAACAACGTACATATTAATTTTTATATTATTTTATTATACTAATTGCGGATATTAGAATCAAACGGACACCTGTAAATAAATAGTATATATTTAAAAGTACTGTAACGACTAAACATCAACAATTCCACCATTTGTACAACATGAAACGAAGGACAGGAGATTCCGATGACAGAATTTCTACATTGTTAAATATTGCAAGAAGCACCTTGGTTAACCAAAGCAAGAAATGTGATGATGGAATACTTTGTGCCGGCACATTTAGGGTTACAGCACATAACCATTGAAGAAGTTGCATCAAGAAACTTGTATATACCTGAATCCTTATTTGGTAATCCTGGAAGTGATACACAGCTTAGAAAAGCCATTGTAATAATGGATGGGACATATTTACGTCCAAAAGAGGAGCAACTACTTATATCAAAAACAGACATATTCCCTCCATAAATATAAGAACCTTGTTAAACCGTTCATGATAGTAAGTTGCGATGGTCATATAATTGATGTTCTGGGTCCGTATGCAGCCACAAAGTCAGATGCCGATTTTAATAGAGCCTCCAAACACTTGATGCAAGATTTTAGAGTTGCAGCAGCATTAATAAATAGGTTTCAGTTTTAGAGGACAGAGAGGATTCAAGACAAATAATTTCAATTATACAAGAGAAAATATTTACTGAAAATACATTAGCTGATTTTGTGGAGCGAAATAACCTTAATATGAGACGGGCCCAGTTTCAAAGTATAACTGTTGATAGTGAAAATCTACAAGAATTTCCACAAATTAATTACAATGATTTAATTTTAATTTCATTGGGAGTTTACCAAATTAAACAAGCGCGCTCTTACTATGGTGAACATATGAGACAAAATGGTTCTTACATTATTGAGGTGTGCAAGGAGGTCGACCAAAGCTTGATTAATGAACTAGAAATAATAACTTCACCAAATATTGGCCTTATTCGGGGTAAAATTCAAAGTCGTCATGCAAGCAATAAAACTTATTATGTTTATATTTTGTTGGATACAATACAAATAGGCAGACAAGCGATACTACAGTATTGAGGTTGCTGCGCCCATATTATGACAATTATTTGGTTTCTCAGTTATGCAAGACATCAAAATAATGTCGTCCCTCCTGCACAATTTTTGGACAATATTTTAGTTGCCAATATTGAATATGATGTAGATTAAGAACAATAAAATGTGAATAATTAGGTACAATAGTTGTTTTTTTTAAGCCTAATAGCAATGGAGCCCTACTTCTGCCACTCAGCTGTCTATCTAACACTTTACATGTACTTATAACCGTCAAAACTTACTTATTACATCCATAGTTACTAGTAGAATTACCAAAAAGAATGAATAGATTTTTACTGAACTAGCGCGCTTACCATCAGGTGGGATGGCAGTCAAGTGCTGGCCTGTTTTGAATTTAAAATAAAAACAAAAAATGCCACGAACTATTTTACACTAAACCCATAGTACTAAAGAAAGTAAGCACTTCAATGGTTTGTTGAATCTCCTATCTTAATTATACAAGGACACAGTTATTTAATATAAGAAATAACATATTTGAAATACAATTCGCTTTTTCTAAGTAGGTACTGGAATCTATGAAGGTAATGTAACGATTGTATTTTACTAAACATAACCTCAAAATAATAGTTATTTTTTCAAATAAATATTTTCTCCGAGGTGTCCGTCATTAAATATTGTTTTTATGGGATTCTACTTGTCATTTAGAACTCAAAAAGTAATTTTCCTTCACTGTTGGTTCTGGGGCAATCAATGTATGGATAAAGAACATTGTCCTTTGCAAATATATAATAATGTTAATATTATTAAATTATATCATTTAAAAAGAAAAATATTTTTAACATGAATATATATTTAAATCCACAAAAAAATTAACTATTTTATTATTTGCTTTGCAACGGGTTTTTTCTTAGTGCCAAATTATGATGAAGCGGCGTGCATAGCAATAGGAATATGTCTCAAGTCGGTACACACTTGCCACTTCTGCGTACAAAACGTGTTGTTTTAGTGATAGTTGGGATTCACAAGGTGTTGCATAGTAGTTACTAAATATAAAAATATAAATATATAAATATTTTAGGACACATTTTTACACAACATTTTCTAGTCCCAAACTAAGCAACGCTTGTACTATGGGTACTAGAAAACTGATAAACATACTTAAACATACTTTTCTTTTGTAAATAAATACATATTATAGATATATAAACACCCAGACACTAGAAAAACTCTATGTTCATCACACAATATTTTTCCAGTAGTGGGGATTGAACCCACACCCTCTGGCGAAGTAGGCAGGTACACTACTCACTACGCCATTCGGGTCGTCAACTTACTGCACCTTTTCTTTCGTTAAAATTGACAAATGTATGTGATTCGTTTTAATATTAATTTATTTGCATGTAGTGTCAATTTGTAAATTTGTAAACTTATTAACTTTGCAGTACACCTATCCCCCGATTTACACGGTACTTGTTTTAAACGTTTTCGCTTTTACACGGTTTTCCAAATAAGTTTTTTTTTGTTTTTATCGCACTCTACTAAATGCTACTGTGATAGAACACGTGCGCTGTGTACACATCTCACGGGGAATCCCGAGCTTAAGTGCTGACTTGTTGAACACGCACACTGTGTCTGTATTTCTTCGCGTATATATTAGTTTATAGCGTATATATTATTCGTAGTATATATTAGTTTATTTCGTATATTTAAAATTTTTGTCATAAACTATTTATGCAGTGTGTTGTAGTAAGTAAATAATTAATATCTTTTTCTTTGTGTGCCGGCAAATTTTGAAATCGTTAAATATGTGCCGCAACAAAAAAAAGGTTGAGAATCACTGGTCTATAGGCTTTGATCGCAATAGACATTTCCCATTCTATTCGTATATTTATAATAATAAGATCAATAATAAATTATTTAAATAAGAAGTTAAAATAAATACAACTAATTAAAATACATAATAAAATTAATAACATTGTTTTATAATTATCATTAGTTCGTTTGTCGGTTAGCTACAATCGCACGAGACATTCTATACTGTGAACGAACGCGAGCGTCATTCCATTGTTCATTAAACTCCTTAGAATCAGGAATTTACTGTGTTAATACGTATCGCTATTGTCTTATATTAACGGGAATCATAAATTAGAAACAATGTCTTTGAAAGATTGCGATTCGCATTTTAAGTTGATGACGGATTTAATGCCCCGATATGACGGGAATCCTAAATTATTAAGTTATTATATTCGTGAAGTTGAAAATTTATTAAAATTATTGTCAGATGAACATGCTCGCGCACTCAA